CCATACACCAAACCCCTCTGGCTTCTACGAAAGACCCATGCAAGCCACGACCGGAGAGGAGGAGATACCTTCGTCACTGCTGGGCACTGGCCACTGTTGGGAGGATTGTAAGGTGGAGTTGCTGCTGCCGGTCGGAGAGGGAAGTACCTGAATCATGTGTCGTCAGTGGATTCATAGCTTGACTGAAGGTGGTTGATCCAAATCTGAAGAATCCGAATATGAACCTTCTGGAGCAGCAGCCTCTTCCTCCACTCACGGTGCTTGGAGGAACTCCATTTATGTTGTGATGCACAGTCAGGCGGGCTCCGTCGTCTCCCAAGCAGATTTCATAGTTTCTAGATTTTTTGTGTATTTTTTGATTAATTCCTACTAAAGTGACGTGAGAGACAATAGAGTGTCTCAACGAGAGCACCAATGTTGGTCCAAAATAGGACGCTCGTAGGCTTTTGGGAAAGCTACGTACGACACTCAAGCAGGAATTAGGAAAGCAAGAACGGGAAAGTGCTAAGGGAATTTGGTAGCCAAGAATAGCTTGTCTATTATTTGAATCGAACTTTCCTATTATAGGCGATTACAAATGGTAAATGCCGAATACAATAATGATCAATTAATTACAACATTAATACGGAATTAAATACATAATTAATATCGCATTGATTGTTGACCGTTACTCTTCCGGACTGAGAGGTTGGTCGGACTGGCAGGCTCCCTGCTGGGCTGGCTGACAGGCTCCAGGTTGTGGACTTGGATCCACGGGTCCAAGTTTGGGGCTTGGGCTGATTAGGCTCTGGGCCTAGTCCCATAACTTCATCAAATATTGTTACTACCAAGCTTGATGCGGTTGAAGATTATCTGCCCTGGCGCACGCAATTCGAGTCCTTTTTGGTATCTCATGGTCTGATGGGCTTTGTTGATGGTACAATTTCTGCTCCTCCTTCTTCTATATTTGATTCCTTTCGGAGAGAAGTTGTAAACAATGAGTATTATTATTGGTTAAAGTTGGATCAAACAGTCCGTTCATGGCTGTTTGCCACTTTATCTCGTGATATACTTGTTGAGGTTAACGCGCTCAAAAATTCGGCTACTATCTGGGATCGTCTGGAATCCTGTTTTATGGCTGCTAGTTTAGCGCGTTCCATGGAATTAAAACAGCTTTTTACAAATACCAAAAATAAAGAAAATCAGTCTATGGAACAATATATGCGTGAAATCCACAAAATTGCTGAAGCACTTGCTGCAATTAATTCTCCGGTTTCTCTAAAGGACCTTATTGAGCAGACATTACTTGGTCTTGGTCGGGATTATGAATCTATTATTACTACTTTGACCACTTTCCCGGAGGGACTTACCTTTGACAAGCTACGGGAAATATTAGTCCAACAAGAGCAGCACAACATTTATCTCCAATCTCAAGAGTCTGCAGCCCCACCTGTGGCCTTCGCTGCTCAGTCGAACGCAATCCCTGGACCAGGCGCAGATGGTCGCGGTGGTTTTCAGCAGCAGCGTGGCCGAGGTGGCCGTCGTGGCCGAGGACAGGGAAACAGGGGTCGCGGCCGCGGAGGATATCCGCACCAGCAGCAGGGCTATGGCGCACCTCCTCCATACTATCAGCCACGGCCGGGACCTCCAGGCACCGGAGGTTACTTTCAGCAGCCATATTATCCGCATCCTTCGGCCAGCTCATCAGCTACGGGAAGACCAGGTACAGTTTTATGTAATACGGTTTCTTCATCGTTTAATACGCATCCCTATTATGTTTTTGGTGCTAACCATGGTTATGCAGGCTCGCCATTAGTTGATGGACAGTTTGGTTCTATTCCCCCACCTGTTGTCTGTCAAATTTTCTATTCTCCAGGTCACTCAGTTATTTCTTGCCCTTCTCGTTTTTTCCAACCATCAGCACCAGCACTAGCTAGCTGCACCCATGAGTGACCCAAATGACGCTGTCTGGTTTCCAGACTCCGGTGCTTCAGCGCATATGCCTCCTCAGGAAGGTACATTAGTTAATAAATCTATTTATTCTGGATCATTGACTGTTACTGTTGCTAATGGTAATAATTTACCCATAAAAAATATTGGTGATATTTTCATTAATTCTCCTTCCAAGCCTATCCATTTAAGATCTGTTTACCATGTACCTCAAATTAAATATAATTTATTATTCATACAAAAATTGTGTTTTGACAATAATTGCATTGTGATTTTTGACAAAAATTCTGTTTTTCTAAAGGACAAAACAACGGGGGCAGTTCTTCTTCAGGCTTCCAGTAGCGGCAGTCTTTACCCAATTCGTTTGTCTTCACCTCCAGTTTTTGCTCTTGCTTCTAGCGCGGCACCTGGACCATTATGGCACCGCCGTTTGGGACATTGCGACACTAGTGTTTTAGATGGTCTTAAGAAGTCTGGTCAACTTAGTAGTCTTTCATCTTTTAATCATGATTGTATCTCGTGTCGATTGGGGAAGTCTCATAGATTACCCTTTCAGGATGTTTTTCATAATTCTAGTACTCTACTATTCTTAATACATTCAGATGTTTGGCAATCACCTGTGTTATCTTCTTCTGGTTTTAAATATTATGTTTCTTTCATTGTGGATCAAACAGTTCGTTCACAGCATAAACTCGCCTAAGCTTCTAAGGCTTGAGGCTCCGCCATGCCGCCTTGGCACGCACGCCTTGCGCCTTTTAGAGCATTGGATTGAACTAGTAACTATACATATTGATCTCCATAACAATTAACACATACTACCTTCGTCCCACTAACATTGGAACATGAAAAGATAGCATGACTATCAAGAAAACACTTCAAGAATTTGGACAAATTGTGATAAATGATTTCGTCATTAAAACTTCAAAGTTTGTCATTAAAATCTTTAGATGACAATATTTTATCGTCACAATGATCGTCATCGTAGTTTCATGGTATTAGGTATATATGACATTTTTTGAATTCATCATCGTCATCATTATGGTGACAAATTAGTGTTTTGTCATCCTTATCGATTACTTTTAGTGACATTAAATGTGTCACTTTTACATCAGTATTTTTGTTATCTAATGATGGATCTCGTCACCATAGAAATGAATTGTTATTATGTTTCAATACTTTGACACCATTATTAATGATTTTTGTGATGCCAAATGTGTCACATTTATAATAAATCTTTGTCATTTATATATGAATTTTGTCATCAATAGTTAACACAATAAATGACAAAACTTTAATTTGTCAATAAAGACATAGTCTATAGTGACAATGTACAATATATTCTCTAAATTTTGACTTGTATTAACAACAAAGTTGTCACGATTAAATTATCTATTTCGTCATAGTTATAAAAAAAATTGTTTATAACCATTTTTTATGACAACATTAAAAAGATATAATAACAAAAAATATATTGTCAAAAAAGCATTACATCTTGTGACAAAATTAGTAGACATAAATATTTTTTGTCATTAAAATATGTAAGATGACAACTCATTAAATTTTGTTTTTGTAGCTATTGCTAAATGACATCATCATGATTCATGACTTTTTCATGTATAATGACAACTATAAATATTTGATCTATGACCATTTATGTGATACAGATCAAATCATTTTATCCACACGTTTATATATAATCCTTTTTTATTAATAAATGATAGAATATAAAAAGTGTATTTGATGCCAAAACTATATAACAACATTGAAACATTCCGCAATGAAAATATAAAAAATATAAGAATGACTAAACAATTAGCCAGCTAACTAATTTTAAAGAAACTTCCTTCCATTGATATTGAAACACTAATTCACTTTCTCAATTTTTGAAGCTTGAAGAGCTTGTTGATTTCTCTTCGTCAATTAGTCAAACACCTCTTTATGATCATCTTGTACTCGAACCATATGTCTATGACCTTGTGTATCATATATTTTCAACCAAGTGAAAAATCACCAGACCACTTGCGATTACTCTTAGTAACAGCAAAAGCCTTCACACTTCCCTTTCCCATCATTTGACCAGCATGAAGCTCAATTTGTAACATCATTGTTTAAAAGTTGTAGCTTATCAACAATCAAGTGAGATAATCTATAAAGTATTTAACTTAACCATTCATCTTCTAGCTTTATTTATTTGTTTTCTAACTCTATTTTTTCTATTTTCCTGACTTCTTTTCTGCTTTGTGCTTTCTAGTCCTCTTTCAGTCTTTCTGTATTATTACTAGATATTAAGTAGTTTGGTACTCAGTTTGATACACTAACTGTAATAGTAGTGTTTCTACTTAGTAGAATCTGATAATCACTTTTATAATCCATATATATATATTAACTATTGTGCACTAACAATGACAAGTTTAACAAATACTCCGTATGTGGGGATAAGATTCAAAATAGAATAAAAGAAGCACATGTATCCCCAACTAACTACCTTCCTCACCACTTTGATTAAAAGTGAAGTTACAAAAAAAAAACTGCAGAAAATTATGTAAACCAAAATACACTCACTGAGATAAAAACCACTTGGAGAATTTATCAAATCCAGTGCAAGTCTGAAACAAAAATCAAAGTGTTATACTATTCCCTACAAAGCAAAGTAGTTTGATGATCAGTTAGAATTAGATGGAAAAGTAAAACACGCGCTAACTAAAAGGAGAAAAGAAAATAAAAATTAGATACTTAGGAGTTAGGTTATCAAGCTGCTCCAGTATTTTACCAGTTTTCTCACTAGACTAATCTGATACAAGAGGATGACTTATACTATGAGCTATATCAGTCTATCAACTTAGATTCCAGCAAACAGATGCTAACCATAGTCGCATGGATCGCGGTAGGCTTCGGTACGTGGTACGAAAACGGGAACGCGGATCGCCAAAATTAGAAATCCGATACGTAGGGAGGTAGGCTTCTTCGGTACGCGGTACGATGTACCCATTGTATATGGTACGGTGAACCATAAACATATTGAATTTACTAAGTATAAATATAATACAAGTATAATATTAAACAATTAACTTCAATAACTTCAATAACATTAAACAAACTTAACAATGTTTGTGACAACAATAAAAGATATAAAACAGTAAACAAAGTTCAACAACTTCAACAAAACAGGAAATAAAGTAATAAACATTAAACAAATGTCAAGAGTCGGGTCGTTTAGAGGTACGAAGCTCCTGGAACAGCGAAAACTTCAGAGCGACCTTGGGAGTTCGATGGTCGTATAAAGTACGAAGCTTCTGGACTGCCGATTCATTGGACTCTAGCAGGAACGCCGAACTGGATGAAGAAGAATCGGCGTACCCACCCGAAGAAGTACGTGAACTGCAACCTGGATCCGCCGTACCGGAATCGTGAACCTCCTGCGTTCCAAACGCGATTGTACCGCGAATTGGATCGCGCGTATCGGAACGGAAATCGCGGGTAAGTCTGTGATCCCTGTACCTATGACGCTAACTAAAAGCAAAAAAAAAGAAAATAAAAATTAGACAGTTAGGAGTTAAATTAGGTTATCAAGTTGCTCCAATATTTTACTGGCAAATCTCACTAGACTTATCTAATACAAGAGGACGACTTATACTATGAGCTATATGAGTCTATCACCCTGGATTCCAGCAAATATGAATATTAGTTATTAGTTAGGATGTGACTGTGACTAAGGTTTATTAGAAATCCTAATGATATTGTTGCTAAAGATTAACAAGCAATCTTAGGTAAGCTTCAAAACCTAGACTTGACAATACTTCTTAACTTCTAGCACTCTTATACAATACAAAGAAACATTAGGAGTCAATAATGGAAATCAATAGCCTTCTCATAAAACCAATACTTGAAAATTGTTGCACACTTGAGCCACAAAATTGAAAAAAGTCTCAATATGTCATGTGATTGGGGACACCAAGCACACATATAAGAGGTTCCCATAACCTAGGAGTAAGAACATTAAAGAAAAACTTAAATGAGGATTTATGACATTGCGATTTGTCATTTCCCCCAAAAATGGAAGCTTTCATGGTATAAAAAATAAGGTGAATTAATAATAATAACTGAAAAACAGAGGAACCCACATTGCAGCTTCAATCTGCAGCTTAATTGTCAAGCACCTGGAAATAATAATTTCATAAGTACTAACCATTCACATACACTCAATAATGTCAAAATGAATACTGTAACACTCCTTGACATTAGGATAGTATCACGTATAAAATGTTGCTCCCTCTGCAAGGGCCATGTGAACCTGCAACAAGTGAAAGAAAAAATGGAAGTGAATAAATTTACCATAAAGAATGAAGAAGTGCTTTACGTGCATATCAGCATAAATGTCTACTGACATATGCATTATAGACTTCATACATATAACTTTTTTCTTTTATTACTAATACCAAATGTATCAATATTAGTGATTATATAGCCTAATAGGTTATGTAAACTGATAAGATAAAAAACTAACATATCAGTCTCACATAATCTTCCTAAATCGCATTAAAACAAATTCAATGAAAGGACTTTTTGAGTTCATACATTTCATCGAACACTTAATTTGCATCTTTAACAAACAAATGGTATGATTAGAATTTGAATCTTTGAGCACTACTGAAACCAAACGTAATGATCAAATCCACAATAGACAAACGAATAACACATAAATCTAAGATATGGCCACATAAAAAGGAAAAAAGGATAAGAGCACTTCAACAACTTTTGTAATATACTCCTTAGAATTTGGTTCCCATATTGGAACTTGAACAGACACCCATAGACGTGCCAAACTAATTTCCTTATTTTGAAAAAAAAATGCATGATAAACTGTTGCAGCAATTATCAAGAACAGAAATTCTAGTGTCTTCCCCCATGGTAAAACTTCTTAATCGTAGAGACCCTTAATGACAACAATCAATCCCATGCAACAAGAATGTAGTCCCTCTATATGTGAGTGATCTGCTGTGAGTGCCAATGCACCATAAATGGCCTTGCAGTTCAAGATCTCCTTTCACTCCGGCTGTTTCCCATTTAAACTTAAACAACCCCAGGGCCCGATCGAGCTGCTTCACTCCTCTCAAAAGCATCTTGTCTTCATATGATGTCAATATTTCCCCATGCACAGGCAGAACTTAACCACATGACCAACAGCATATAGCCCCCCACAAACTTCTACTTCAAGATCGCTTACGCTACCATAAAGATAATACTACGTATGTGAGAAGTGTAAATAAGCACTGAGATGAGTGGCCCAGTCTCTTAGTTAATATCTTCTGTACTAAGCTTTCTTGATGGCGATTTTCCCTGTATCCAATGTTTTTTTATCTATCCGAATATCCCTTATCTGATAGAGACCTTCTTTCATGACCTCTATCTTCCTAACCTCTAGAGATATTTTTGTTACCTCACTCAAGCAGTCAGCAGTTTCCTTTTGGTTGTGATATCATGTATCGATTCATGTTAGCCGACCCCAATATCTTTTGGGACTAAGGCTTGGATGTTGTTGTTGTTGTTGTTGTACTCAAGCAGTCAGCAAGATCAATGAACATCTCAAGAATGTCTTCCCATTTGTGTGAAGTAGGAGGTGAATTGGCATCTCTTGTGGGTGCAACTCGCATCCATGAACTGGAATCGGGGTTGTAAGAAGTGGCAATGTCCAAAACCTTCAAACAACTCAAAACTATTTGCTTTGCCATTTTAGTTTCTTTACTAGGGAACCTAGAATCCAAATACTCCATCTCAGATTTCAACTTATCTAGTATCACCTCAAGCACACCAGTCCATATCTGATGTTGAGTTACCTGGGGGCATATCGTTGCCCTGACTACCTTCCTTTGTTGAGCTGAAACATTCAAGATCTCAGAAACCTTTGTGAGTGAATTCACACTCATTGGTTCTCTCTCACCAGCTTTATTAAAACAATGAAGCTGCTGGTTCTCTTTTGCATTGCTCCCTAAAGACATAATAATATTTTTCCTCATGATTTCTTCAACCAAAGGACACCCAATAAAGTCTCTTGCTAGAGACTTAAAAACGCATGTTTTCTAGCAAAACGTCATCTTCAATTATCGATTCATCAATAACATTAACAGTCCTACCGTTAATAACATCCACATTATTCAGCAATTGGGATAACATTGATAGCTTTGAGAAAGCTTTTTCATACCAATCAGACGGAAAAGACTCCATCTTCGGTTCCTCCAAGCAGTGCTACGAAATGTAATTCATTCTGATCACAGCATTCTGCCTGGCTGACAAAGCCCTTGATCCACAGAGGAAATTTATCACAGCTCTCATTACCATCGCCTAACAAAACTTCACACCAATAACATTTCTACGAAACCTACTTCCACCGAACCACCAAAAGCTGGGTTCTTCCCTATACAGTTCACCATCACATCATAATCACACTTGCATTCACCCCTCTTTGGCATTTCAGCGATCAAGTGGCGTGTGACTCACAAACTAAAGATTAATTGAAGCTTTACCTGCCACTGCAAAAAGTGTAAACTTTAGAAACGTGTTCAAGGAATCCCAACTGAACATAACGGAAAAAAGAGGATATTTGTTTCGTCTGTGTAAAGAGCAGCCCCTGGGAGAGAGGACGAGGTGTCGAAGTAAAGGGCTAAGAGTTCAAGAGCTTCAATTTGAAGACTTGGAAACAAATCGGAAATATCCCACACCCAGAACTTAAGGAAGAGTTACGCTGTAGAATCTATATATTGGGTATCTTGATTTCTTCAATTCTCACGCAGCTACGCTATAAACACAAAGCGAACTATTCTTTCGCCTTTTACTAAAGAATACCGTGTGTTTGTAGCAATCAGTGGTATACGCTAATTTTTGGAGGGTCTCCATTATTTAGGAGCCCAACTAATTCTAATTCAAATTGTTTTTAGCTGTACATATCCGATGATTAATAATGTATCATTTTTCAGGTTTGTACACTATATGCACTGTTAAGATGCTTATGTGTATTCAATCAAATGGCAAATTATACTTTGCATCCGCTAATGATGTGCTCGGATGCAAAACGGTAGCATGTTTGGTTTTTTTTTTTGGGGGCTTTTGTTTTTAAAAAATGATAATAACTTTTTTATTTTTGATCCGATTTTTATAAAATTTATATCAACATTTTTTATTTTTCATGATCTTTCAAATGAGACCAATATTGCTTATGTAATTTTCAGAAATTATCGAACTATTATATTAATGAGTATTGAATTATAAGGAAAATCGAATCTGTTTGGGAGATGATAGGTTTGTGAAATAGAAGATTGAATCTGTTTGGTAGTGGATCAGTGGCCTCAATTACATTTGATAATACATTGAGTTACATCTTTTTATGGGCGAGTTACATCTTTTTAATAAGCAAATTACATCTTTTTATAAGCGAGTTACATCTTTTTATAAGCAAGTTACATCTTTTTATAAGCGAGTTACATATATATACACACGAGTTGCATTTGACATGCCTGAACGCGACTTACATATATTTACACGTAAAGTTACATATTTTTACACGTAAAGTTACATATTTATACACGCGAGTTACATATTTAAACACACGAGTTTCATTTGACCTGTCTGAACGCGAGTTACACATTTTTTAAGTAAAGTTACATATTGTTACACGTAGAGATACATATTTATACACACGAGTTGCATTTGGCCTGACTTAACGTGAGTTACATATTTTAACACGTAAAGTTGCATATTTTACACGCAAATGGTAATATGTTAAAATTACATATGCAATATTGGTCTCATTTGAAAGATCATGAAAAATAAAAAATGTTGATATAAATTTTATAAAAATCGGATCAAAAATAAAAAAGTTATTACCATTTTTAAAAAAGAGAAAATAATATCCAATGGGTGTATGGCGCTCACCATGCACCCGTTGCACGGTATAGGCACTCAATCAAATAAGAGCATCTCCAATGCGCATCTAGATACTTTGTTTATTGTTTTTTAATTGGTTATTTCTTATGTCACGTATGCACCGTTAACATTTGCTCTAAATTAATCTTTGGTTACGAGATTAGGTTCAAACTTTCCTTTAAATCCTTTTAATGAAACAAATATGTTTGATTGAAGCTAATTTTGAGAATGGGAACAATAAAAATTTGTTTTGGTGAATTCATCTCTAACATAAATTGAAGCAAGTGTTACGCAATTAGCACTACAAAAAAATTCGCCTGCAGTCATGGACCGTAGTCACGGATTTGGTCCGTGACTAGTTAGTCATGGATTTGTCCGTGACTACGTCCGTGACTATTGGTAGTGACGGACCTAGTCCGTGACTAAAGTGTTCCGGCCAACCCATTTTCGCCTCCGGTGGGATTTTTTTTAAATTTGAAATTAGTCACGGATGGTGCCGTGACTAGTGCCGTGACTACATTTAGTCACTGACGTATCCGTGACTAATTCCGTGACAAGCGCAAAATTGATTTTTTCAACGTTCCAAATTTAAAGTGCACCGACAATCCGTGACTAAGTCCGTGACTACAAATTTTATATATGCAGCCTCCGCTTCATTCAACAAAATCACACCATCTACTCCAAATAGAATTCCAGATAGAATTGAAGGATGTAATCTACCCATCTCATATCATTTTTCCTGTTTATGCAGATAAGGTATGTAATTTGAATTACGTATTTTTAGTAAATTAGTTAAATATGTAAATTTGTTAATAAATACATATATGTAAGTATATTATTAAATATAATATTGGCAATACATATGTTATTAATTTTAAAATATAGGGTTAAAATTACGTAAATTAGTTAAATACGTATGTAAGTATATATGATTAAATATAATTTAAATGCACATTATTAATATTAGTTAAATGTAAGTATTATTTAATTCAAATAACTTTATATATATATATATATATATATATATATATATATATATATATATGATTAAATATAAGTATATGATTTCTTTTTATTGGCAATTATTGTTAATTAAGGCAGCCTAATTTAGGATTAATAATGATTTAAATTAGGGTTAGTTAATTTAATTTAAATGTGTTTATTATATATATATATGCTCAAATTATTGGATTTTCTTATATTATTTAATTTAGTAAATTGTTAAATGTTCATTATTAATAAGATTAAGATGTTGATAATTTTAGTATTGTGGATTAAATTAATGTCATTAACGTGTTGTGCATGTTTATAGTTTAATAATATTAATTATTGGACGTTAGTTAATTGTAAGGGAATTTTAGTGAATTTTAGTGAATTTTAGAGAAATTTTAGGCAATTAGTTAATTTTAAGGGAATTAGTTAATTTTAAGGGAATTTTAGGGAATTAGTTAATTTTAAGTGAATTTTAGTGAAATTTAAGGAAACTAATTAATTTTAAGGGAATTTTAGGGAATTAGTTAATTTTAAGTGAATTTTAGTGAAATTTAAGGAAACTAGTTAATTTTAAGGGAATTAGTTAATTTAAAGGGAATTTTAGGGAATTAGTTCATTTTAAGGGAATTTTAGTGAAATTTAGTGAACTTTAAGGAATTTAGTTAAATTTAAGGGAATTAGTTAATTTTAATGGAATTTTAGGGAATTAGTTAATTTTAAGGAAATTTTAGTGAAATTTAGTGAAATTTAAGGGAATTAGTTAATTTTAGGGAATTAGTTAATTTTAAGGGAATTTTAGTGAATTTTAGTGAAATTTAAGGAAACTAGTTAATTTTAAGGGAATTAGTTAATTTTAAGGGAATTTTAGGGAATTAGTTAATTTTAAGGGAATTTTAGGGTATTAGTTAATTTTAAGGGAATTTTAGGGAAATTTAGTGAAATTTAAGGAAATTAGTTAATTTTAAGGGAATTAGTTAATTTTAGTGAAGTTTAGTGAAATTTAATGGAATTAGTTAATTTTAGGGAATTAGTTAATTTTAAGGGAATTTTAGTGAATTTTAGTGAAATTTAAGGAAACTAGTTAATTTTAAGGGAATTAGTTAATTTTAAGGGAATTTTAGGGAATTAGTTAATTTAAAGGAAATTTTAGTGAATTTTAGTGAAATTTAAGGAAACTAGTTAATTTTAAGGGAATTAGTTAATTTTAAGGGAATTTTAGGGAATTAGTTAATTTTAAGGAATTTTTAGTGAATTTTAGTGAAATTTAAGTAAACTAGTTAATTTTAAGCGAATTAGTTAATTTTAAGGGAATTTTAGGGAATTAGTTAATTTTAAGGAAATTTTAGTGAATTTTAGTGAAATTTAAGTAAACTAGTTAATTTTAAGGGAATTAGTTAATTTTAAGGGAATTTTAGGGAATTAGTTAATTTTAAGGAAATTTTAGTGAAATTTAGTGAAATTTAAGGGAATTAGTTAATTTTAGGGAATTAGTTAATTTTAATATATTAATAATACTCCACATATAATATGTTGGTAATGTTTATAATTTAGAGTTTTTAACCTGTATAATTTTTTTATTATAATATTCAAGCATAATGTATAGACAAAATAGAATTTGGATGTATGATAAACATGCAGTATTGTACGGAATGCAATCAAATTTTCTTGAAGGAGTTGAGGAGTTTATTAAATTCGCACTTGAACACCCGGCTTATATGAGTGGTGATAAAATCAGATGTCCATGTTCAAAGTGTAAAAATCTCAAATTTAAACACCCAGACGAAGTTGGGTGGGATTTGTACGCGGACGGTTTCCTTCCCAATTATTACAATTGGACTTCTCATGGCGAACCTTTGGATCCATCTGTTTTACCACAAACGGTGGGTTCGTCTCGTAACGTCCCTGCAGAGATGAGTGTGTGGGGAGACCCGGCTGAAATGAGATGAGAGCAACGTATGGTATATGACGCATACGGTGCATCGATGTCTCAGTTCAACCCCCCACAACCATCTAACGATCCTCCTGAAGCTTCGACCTCGTATCAACCACATGAGGATGAAAATCCGATATTTTATGAACCTTATGTGGATGAAGGTTTAGCTGAAAGATTTCAAGATGTTTTAAAAGTAGCTGATCAACCCTTGTATGCTGATTGTGAGGGATACTCTCAGCTATCCGCCGTTACAGAGTTTATGAACATAAAAGCTGAATACAGTCTCCCTGAAACTTGCATGACTAGAGTCTTGCAGTCAGTAGGCGGGATGCTACCACGTGATCATAACCTTCCGGATTCATATTATCACATGAAGCAATTAATGTCTAAGTTGGGGCTACCTTATATAGAAATTGATGCGTGCCCGAAAGGATGTATGTTGTTCTGGAAGGATGATGAGGCACTTGAATTCTGCAAGTTCTGTGGTGGAAACAGATACAAACTTGTTCCTCAAAGTAGAAAGAAACCACAAAATATGTCGGCATTGTCTAAACTGTATTACCTCCCAATAGCTCCACGACTTCAGAGGATGTACGCTTCGACTGCTACTGCGAAACACATGACATGGCATGTTGAGCACGAAACAAAAGAGGGTATGATGTCTCACCCTTCGGACTGTGAAGCTTGGAGACACTTTGACCGTTGCCATCCTCAGTTTGCAATGGAGCCACGAAATGTGCGACTGGGATTGTGTTCAGACGGATTTGCTCCATTTGGAAGGTTTGGGAAGAACTATTCATGTTGGCCGGTCATGTTAACTCCTTACAATCTCCCTCCCGACATGTGCATGAAAAGTCACTTTATCTGTTTGACTCTAATCTGTCCGGGTCCCAATGATCTAGGGAAAAAAATAGACATTTATCTCCAACCCCTTATCGAGGAGATGAAAGAACTTTGGGCCATTGGGACACCAACATATGATGTTTCAAGGGATCAAAATTTCATAATGAAAGCTGCCATCATTTGGACCATTAGCGACTTCCCTGTCTATGGCATGCTTTCGGGATGGAGCACACATGGTCTTATGGGATGTCCGATATGCAT